CCGGGGAAACATACAACTCCAACACCAAACCTTTTACTGAGCATATAAACGTTACATCCCTACATTTCTGAGCCCCACAAGCCAGCCAATGGATATGGAATGTGTGCAGTGCAAAAGGCACCAGAGTCAGACCCAGTGCACTCGGTAATCAGCACTGAGTAACAGGCATGGTCAGGCACGCCCCCTTCTCTTTCTCTGCAATAGAGGTCTATGTGAGGACACATGTGATGGGGGTGTGGCTGTTACTCTGCTCTGTCGGCACAGAGCACCGGAGGGAGAGATCTTTTTTTTTAAGTCTTTCCCAGCAAAATCATACCATGGCGGGGGAGGGGATTATAGGGAGATTTCAGTAGAATGGCGCTCCCATTGATCCAGTTGTCTCGGCTTCGTTTTTAACCCCACAAGGTAGCGCTGTCTTGTGGGCCGCGACTCTGACTTGCTGCAAGGAAAGGGTTCTGATAGGAGTTCCGCGATCTCTCCGCATTTCTTTGGTGAACCCGAACCGTGAAAATGTCTCCCGGCCTCGCGTTACACATTGATGAGTTCTGAGCTGGGACCAGGGGCCTCTGCAGGTGCTCCAGCAGCCCGGTGTGTGTAAGCCGATGCGCCTGGATCTCGCCGCGCGTAACACAATGCTCATTTGTCTCATGTGATACTCTGCCAAGAGCCACAAAGAGGAAACGAGTCAACAGGTCAGCCTGACGCGACCCGCGCAGAGGAGAACATTGCGCGGACCTGATACCTGAGTCATCCAGACAGGTGACTAAAGCCGAACATGTTCTATATGAAACACACAAAGTACATATGTGTGCGCTGTACCGGGCCGTGGGGGGGCGGGGCGTAGGTCAGTCCAACCCCAATGGTAGTTGGTAGGTTGCGGAGTCATTGGAGAGAGAGCAACAGTGAGCGCTCTTTATTACAGGAGGGGGCGGAGACAAGACCAGTCACCCTGCGCAAGGAGAGAGAGCAGCAGTGAGCGCTCTTTATTACAGGAGGGGGCGGAGACAAGACCAGTCACCCTGCACAAGGAGAGAGAACAGCAGTGATTGGTCTTTGTTACAGGAGGGGGCGGAGACAAGACTAGTCTCCCTGTACAAGGAGAGAGCAGCAGTGAGCAGTCTTTATTACAGGAGGGGGCGGAGACAAGACCAGTCACCTTGCACAAGCAGAGAGATCAGCAGTAAGAGGTCTTTATTACAGGAAGCTCCAAGTCTCTTTACCGCAAGCTTAAGTGAAATACGGCGGCCTCTCTAGGGATCCAGTGACTTCAGTAGTTGTAGACATTGGCTGGTGACGAGTACGCAGATCTGATTTGGTTGCTATGGGTTACTGCACCTACTTTGCACTCTGCTCCATGAAGTGAAAGCCGTATGAGAAGTGAAAGTGTTTTTGTGCAGCTGTTGTCCCGTCATCATCCATTCCAGACTGCAGGACACGACCTGACACTTGTCCCCCTGAGATATCCGGGCCTCACGTGTCACCCTATGAAGGGCCGCCGGCCGGCCGCCTGCTCTGCGGTCATCACTCATTGGTGAGGAGGAGCTCTAGTGATCGCACTCACAGTGCTGACAGCTTCAATGGTGCCCGTCGCAGATTCCCGTCTCACGTCTCTCTTCCTATTAATTGTCGGCTCTCCTATCAGTTTCCTGTCACTGAAGAGGACCTGTCATTCAACAATTATTG